CATAAAAGCGAGAGTATTCCAGTGGATGCGATCTACAACCTCTGAATTTGCCTAGTAACGATGAATTCGTCGAGAAAATGGTAATATTTTATGAGAAATAGTCTGTATTTCTCTTTTTTTTTATTCCTTTGCGTAAAACTAAAATTCATGCCAATATTTTTCCATGATTTATAATAATTGGAGTAATGCAAATGCATATTTTCTAAAAAAAAGTCAATTTTCAGTGAAATTTTGCCGGGAATGGGGCTTTAAGCTGATATGATCGATAGTGTAAAAACGCAAAATTGCGCGTAGATGTCGTCACGCATAACTGCGCACTTTGAAAACCTTATTGTGACTATTCCAGGCCAGGCTAAATGATACTTTAGTCTGGCCTGGAACATGATACTTTATTCACCGAAAACAATATGAATTTGAATCTGTAGAATCTATTCGCAGTACTGTATTAGGCCTACTTTAAATAGAATTTAGTCTTGGGTTTGGTTTGTACTTCAGTGAGATTAAAGATTTACAGGTTTCCGCCATCTATGTTGAATATTGTTTTTAAATAGGTGGCGCTATAGATCACAATTATTTGTCTCATTAAATTAACAAATTATTATGTAATACCATGCAAAAAAGTAACATTTGACTATCACATAATGTACGTTGTATATTAGTTTACAGTTATATTTTTATATCAGTCAATCAAATAAATTTACATGGCGCCAATATCTTAATTATACTACATATTTTATGTATTAGCTATTAACTGACTTTCCTAAATTTATTTTCTTAGAAGAAAAACAATTTAATGTAGATAATAAAGGTAGTATTAGCTCTTGGTTCCTACAGGTCTTGGAAAACGGTTAGGCCTATGATTTAAATAAAATTTTTAGTTAGCAAGTTAAAAATTAAAAAAAAGTTTCTTAGATATTAATAGAATTTATAATATCCATCTTAAATAACAATGACTGCTTAAAAAAGAATGCTAATTCTTAGTCTAAGAGGTGATAAATGTGAACCTTTAAAAATGATGAAAATTAACAATTAGTCAACACAGGGAACAGTGAAATTGTAATTTCACTGTTCCCTGGTCAACATTACAGCGCTTTCTTGATTTGTGCACAAAAGGAGCACTATGGGGATATTCGTGACAAAAACGAATTTGTCAAATTTATTTTCAAAGTTTCTTTTTATTCTACAAGTCTTTATAAAATTCATTCACGATTTGTCCAATGTTGTCACACGCCTTTCTTGCGACTTCTAGCGTAGTAAATTCTTTCTCCTCCATCTTACCAAACTTGTCTACATAAACCTTTACACTAAGTTTTTCTTCAAGGGGGTTTTCGTGCTTATTTGCGTTATCCATTCTGATTAAAGCGAACATCCAATTATTAATAAGAAAGTTTGAAGCTGGTTGAATCTGTAATGACACAAATTATACTATTGAATCTCTCACTTGATATTCTCTGTTAAGTATCTCACTATTACATATACATAATATAATTTATAAACAGTATAATAATAAAATTAATATTTAAATGGGGGATAATTAATACCAAAACAACAATTTCAGCAAGGAAATCAAATATAAATGGTATATATATACTTACAGAAACTAAGAATGTGAATAAGCGACGAAAGTTCCTTTGAAATCTAGTCCATTTATATTCTTCCTGAATTTTACATCTGAATTTCTCTTCTATCTTTGCTGAAGAACAATCGAAAATGTTAAAATAGTCACACGATTTCTTGGTACCATTATAATGACAATCTCTAAACTTAGTCATTGTCTGATTGAGGATTGTGCGACACTTATGAATGACGTCAACTTTTAAAATTGCGATTTGCTTTTTGTCCTGTAGTATACAGCAACGCTCCAATTCAACCTGGATTTTTCTTAGATCACAAAGAACGACACCTGCATCAGAGTTATCGGCAGAAAGCAATTCATCAAGATCTTCTTTCAATTGCTCTTTATCATCATCATCATCATCAGTGTTTTCAATGCAAACAAAAATTTGAGCACAGCTTGTGTAGAAATCTCTGTTACATCTATCCATATTTTTGAGTCCATCAAGAAGCAGCCTTGCTCCTCTAAGACTACCAAATTTTACTGATTCAGTAAAGAGATTGAAAGCATCATTTTCCCTACTCTCATTGAGAGCAATTTTTCCCTTTTTGAAAGCTAACTTCGCCTTGCATTTATGAAGAATGTCAGGATTTGGATTTTCAAGACTGAGCTGTTCCATGTCTTGAATAACGGAATTAGTATCGATTATGAGCTCCTTTTCAATTTTAATTTTAAACACATCTTCAAGTATCGTCCACCGAACTACTGCGTTGATAGGTGGTTGCTGATTAAGGACCAATTTGTAGTAGTAGCATGTCTTGTTAAAAATTCCTAGATTTTTATGCAACCCGGCTAGCTTCAATAGTGAGTCTTTATCATCTCTTTCGGCTTTTCTTTCATAGTAGTTTTTAAGCCATTTGATCGAATTTCGAACCATCCGATCAACCTCAGTAAAGAACGTATAAGGTGGCTGGTCGTTTTCTTTACATTCCTTGAGTGCTTTATCGACTAGGACTTCTTGTTTTTCAGCTGCATCATCGAGCTTGTTAATACTCATTAGGAAAAGCGCAAATTGATAATTAGTTTGAATTACTATATCTGCATCATCCTCATTATTGACTAGAATATATTCAAAGTATTCTTCTGCTTTTGCATATTCTTTTTTTGAAATAAATTCTTTGGTCATATCGAATTTTGCAGCCAGGTTAGATGGATTTGCATCAATGGCCATTTGAAGATACTCTTCTGGTGGTGGAATGTTCTGATCTCTGAACACAACATATAATTGGTGATAAATAAATGAACCTGGTCTTTCGGCCTTCTGTAGAACCTTAAGCGCTTCACTATATTTCTTCATTCTTCTGTATACCTGAGCGACTTCTCCAAGTATTTTTTTGCGTGATGGTTGAGGTCTTAACGCGTTCTTTAAAAAGTATTCTGCCTTTTCATTGTTGCCTTTCCTTCGTTTTATTTCTGCTATTAAAACCATTGCGTAGCTGTGGTTTCGGTCATTTTTCAGGACTTTATAGAAAATGTCCTGTGCTTTTGTTATATCTGGACAAAGCTCATTGGGCCTGACGGATGCTTTACCTTTTCTCCAAATTAGTAATCCTAGCGAAAAGTGCCAATCGTTTTCATCTGGACACAAATCTACCGCTGTTTTAAATTGCTCGATACTCTCGGAGTATCGGATCATACCTAAACGCGACAATGCAAATCCCTTTGTGGCATGTTTGCTGCCTAAAAACATTTTATGATTAGGAGAGTCGACAACGTATTTTGAATTAAGTTCCTCAAGAATACAAATTTTTTTTTTGCGTTTGGTCTTGTTCTGTTCCATCCACGCTTCAAGAGCCATAACAATGAATAAATACCCGTCCTTAAGCGATTCTTCCCTTGGATCATCTTGAAGTAGTGTACGAACTTTATTGAGGCAGTCGATTGCATTCGATTTTTCCTTCTCAACATTGAAGCGGGAATAAAACAGGTAGCTTTTAAAAAGAAGACCCTCAATAACCATAGCAGGTGACTCGTCAATGTGTTCGTCGATTAGATTCATCAACGAATCAAACCGTTTAATACATTTGGACTCAAGTTTCCATGCAAAATGAAAAGAAAACCTACTCAGTTGGTCTTGCAAACCCTCCATTGACGTCATGTTGCTGTAAATGTAGTCGATCCAAATTGATATCTAAAAGAAACGCGATATTTTTATTGACAGCATGCAAAAATTTATTAATCTATAAAGTATATTTTTCAAATAATTTTCAGGTTAATATGGTTATGCAATTTTAAAATTAGTTTGATAAATTAAAAAAAAAGAAATATATTTTAGTGCATTAGTAGCATGAGCTCTTTCTAATTCATGTGCACTTATTATTATATTTTTAACAACATCCTCAACCAGTCTTTACCTTTATGCCTTTACATGTTTATACTGGAATTAAATAAAATTATAAACGCATACAAACTATAATTTAAAAAAATAGATAAAAATAAAAATTGTAGTAATATCGTGGTAATCATAACAGAATTATTGTTGATATAATAAATCAAAGGCTATGCACCACGCACAGACCAATATAAGTGTTAGAACACTGGTTCTCGTCAGATTACCGTCTTTTGATTGACCACGTGCTGTAGGCAGATTGCTGTAGGCCTAATTGACCACGTACTGTAAACAGAAAAAATGGTCAACATTTTGGCTATGTTCACACACACGGCGTAAGACTGGCGTGGCTTACGCCAGGCGTAAGCTAATCCACGGATTAAAATTCCAAAGTGTTCACACAAACGGCGTTCGTTAAACTAGCAGTAATATAGGCCTATGTTCAGTTTTAAATAATGTACGTGTTAACAGTAGTAAAATTAACAGTGCATCATGAAAACCTTTAAATCTGTGAATTGTTCGAAGTGAACTTATATGATTATTGTATTTTAAATGAACAATTTTACTTTTATTTTTCAGCTAGCATTGTCTTTTACAAGAAACAAAATTTTTGATTGGATGTGTTTACAGAAGTCCTTCCAGTTCTGATTTTAATAACGGTAATCTTTACGAATTATTTAATCGAGCACTTAATCGTAATTTTACGGACCTAATTATTGTCGGGGATTTTAATTATAGAGATATAAAATGGGATTTGGGTTATGTTAGTAGCGAATATGCAACGAATGGTCAGTTATTTTACGAGTGTGTTAGTGATTTGTTCCTTCATCAACATGTTCATGAACCCACAAGATTTCGCGAGGGTCAAACTGCAAGTACTTTAGATTTAATTTTTACCCTTGATGAGGGATCAGTTGTTAATGTTGTTGGACGTCCTCCGCTTGGCAAGAATGATCACTCGATTTTGACCTTTGACATGCCTGTTTCTTATTCAAATTTTGAGGAACCGCTTATTAGACGTTATATACATGGGGACTATAATAGAATGAGACAGTCACTTGTAAATATAGACTGGAATTTGGTGTTTAGTTCTCTTTCTGGATTAGAGTCTTGGACGTTTTTTGAACTACAAATGAAGAAACTTATTGAGCTCCATACTCCTATGAGAAAGAAACGTGGTCACAGAAATCCTCAGTGGATGAACAAACAATGTCTCAAAGCAATTAATAAGAAAAATAAAAGATGGAAGCGTTACACTAAGAGTAAGAGAACACAGAGACCGGACATTGGAGTAAAATGGAAGCAATTTGTTGAAGATAGGAATTTCGCCACAAACTTAATTAGGAAAACTAAATCAACTTTTGAAAATAAACTTGTAGAAGAGATAGGATGTAACGAAAAATGCTTTTGGAAGTATGTGAAGAGTCAAACCAAGGGTAATCCTGGGGTCCCTGATCTCATTGCTGAAAATGGAGTTCGTGTGTCTGATGACCTAGGAAAAGCTGAATTATTTAATGCCTTTTTCAGTGGTGTTTTTGTGAATGAGGATTTGTCAGATATGCCTAATCTATCTTTTTCTGCTGATACGTGTTTGGTGAACGATATTTTCTTTGTCGAGGCAGACATCTTGCGGATTCTGTCTAGTTTGAATACCAACAAATCTGCAGGACCTGATGGGTTACATGCAAAAGTGTTGTTTGAACTTCGATCTGTTATATCATTACCTTTAAAACTTATTTTAATAAGCTTTTCTTAGAGGGTGTTGTACCCACGTCTTGGAAGGAAGCATGGGTGGTTCCGATTCTAAAGAAGGGTAATAAGAATACTCCATCTAATTATAGGCCGATTAGTCTAACATCGATTGTAGGGAAGATTATGGAACGGATCATTAGAGATTATCTTATGGAATATCTTGAGACAAATGATTTACTATGCAAGGAGCAATATGGTTTTAGAGGTGGTTATTCCTGTGCAACCCAATTACTTGCGCTACATGAGCTGTGGTCTTCTTATTGATAAATCTTATAGTTTTGACTGTATTTATTTTGATTTCAAAAAAGCTTTTGATTCCGTTCCTCATCAGCGTTTATTAGGCAAGTTATGTAGTTATGGTATTAAAGATAAAACTTTAAAGTGGATTGCGGAATATCTTACTGGACGTTCACAGCGTGTCTCAATAAATGGATGTCTATCTAGTAAAGTCCCAGTGCTAAGTGGNNNGTGGTATCCCACAGGGTTCTGTTTTGGGTCCAATTTTGTTTACTATTTTTATCAATGATTTACCTTTAGTATCTGACTCTTCCGTAAGATTGTTCGCAGATGATACAAAGCTTTTTAGAGTTGTAGAATCGGTTGATGATAGTTTCCGTCTTCAAGAAGATATTAATGCCTTATGTGAGCGGTCTCGAAAATGGAATTTGCCATTTAATAGTGACAAATGTAAAGTTGTTCACTATGGAAGAAATAATCCAAAATGTTCCTATTTTATGTGTGATACTGAAATTCAGGCAGTTGACAGTATAAAGGATTTAGGAGTTACCTTTGATTCCAGTCTTAATTTTAGAATGCATGTTGCTGATATTTGTAAGAAAGCTAACATGAAATTGGGCATGATAAAACGGTCTTTTAGATTTTTGAAGAAAAAAGGTCTACTGAAACTGTATAAGTCTATTGTGAGACCAACTTTAGAATATTGTAGCGTAGTCTATAACCCAATTTATAAGAGAGAGGCAGATTCCTTAGAGAAAGTTCAACAACGAGCAACTAAGATGTTTCTGGAGGTAAGGGATTTTCCGTACGAAGTTAGACTTAAATTTTTGAATCTTCCAACTCTAGCATTTCGTAGACAGAGATCGGATAATTTACAGCTTTTTAAAATTGTCCATGGAATTAATAGAATTTTGGGTGATTTATCTTTTGAGTTTGATAAAGGTGCTAGAACTAGAGGTCACTCCTTTAAGATTAAACATCAGCACTGTAAGACACTTATTAGAAGTCGTGCTTCTTCATTTAGGTCAGTTCGGCTGTGGAATTCCTTATCGAATGAAGATGTTAACTCTAGTTCTATTAACTTATTTAAATCTGCGATCGAAGTACGTTTGGCTGACCATCCGCTCAAATTTGCACCCTATGTTAAATTTTAATATTCTGTTTTTTTCGAGGGGACTATAAGCATCGTTTTGCTTGGCCTCTATACCCAGGAGGATCAGACTGTAGAAGAATCTCTTGGGATACAAGTAAACAAGTAAACAAGTAGCATTGTTGATGTTGCATGTTTTAATAGACAGTCTAAATGGTTAAAATATCTTACAAAACACAATCAATAAATCATATACATTATAACTAAGTAAAATGCAATAGAAAAGGAACCCCTTTACCATCTGTCTCTTATACACATCTAGATAAAAGAGACCAAAGTAGCTAATATATTGCAATCGTGATTGGTCAATCTCTTGAAATGAGGTCAAATCATTCAAGCATCACTGGCGTTAGCTCAGTGGCGTTAGCTAATCTGGGGTCTGCAGGTAGCGCTAATAACGCCAAAGACGTGGCGTAGTGAGTGGCTTTAAGAACGCCACTGCCTAGTTCACACACAAAGGCGTACGCTACACCAGGCTTAAGCCAGCCTTACGCCGTGTGTGTGAACATAGCCTTAATTTTGATTTCCCACTAACCTTCGCCTGGGCGAATAGGCGAAGGTCTGGATCCGCGTCTAGTTAGCATGAACTTTGTAAGCCGGACTCATTAGTATTTTGTTACGTTTCTTCACAGAGTGGGGTTCGACCAAACCCCCTGAACCCCCTCCCCTGGATCCGCTACTGAATTACAAGAAATATAATAAATCAAATCAAATCAAGTTGGTGTAATTGAATATTTGTGCACCTCCATTTTTAAGCTATGTCATAGCTTATGGTAGCAGCTATATATA